TTTTTTTTAAGTAATTTTCACAGTATTAAAGTAGAGTTACCACAGCGACGCACCGAACAATAAACAATTCATTTAAAGAATGAAATTAGGACAGGATATATCTTTATAATAAATAAAAATACAAAATGAAATCAAAATGAAAAGTCTGAATCAAGTCAGAAGATGCAGAACAAATGTGTGCAAAGTGCCTAAAGTGCAGGGGAACAAACATTCAAAACACACGCCACAATCGTTAATTTAGATAACCCTGAGTGATCAATAAATAAAGTAAAATTAAAGAAATTATTAAAATAACAAAACTATCGCCAGAATTGTCAACTTTGTCTTTGTAACTGCAGAAACAACAATACACACTAAACTGGAGCGGCGGTTTAACTAAAATCACTTGATCCTGATCGAGACCGAATCCAGACTTTCACTCTCTCTCTGTGTGTGTGTGTGTGTGTGTGTGTGTGTGTGTGTGCGTGTGTCTCTGCACGTGTCTGTTTCAGTCTTTTCAAATAGATAAAACGCGCTGATTGACTTCTGGGTTCTTCTGCTTATCTGCCCATAGGCCACTGTTTTCATCCAAATACCACAGAAACCATAAAGTTATGCCATGATAGTGAGGAGCTGAGTTATGCCTGGTTTTATCTGTGGTTATCATCATCTAAATGCATGACACTGGATGACCAATGGTTAATTTTAATACAACTCAGTCAGATATTACATTTTACCAAATAAAAATGTGGTTGTTACATTAAAAAAAAAAAACGAAAAAAAAAACAACAGATGTTACTGTTTTTGTTAATAAACATAAATTTAACATTAGCGTAGTATTAGCTTGAGTTAGGATGCAGATTACTGTAAACTCACTGTCAAATATGCATTTTGAGACAAAACATGTAATTTGAATATTGCAGCCTGCACTGCAAACTGTGCTGAAGAAATATTTTTCTATTCATATATATATTTTAAGGAAAAATTAAAAATGTTTGAATGTTCTACCTCATATTTGTGAAATGTTCACCTGTTTGGCAAGTGTTTGTCATGATATGTTCTGACAATAAAGAGTAGTTTAAAACACAATTAACACTCTGGTTTATACAACTTTCACTTAGGAGCAAAAATCTGCCTTTAAACTTGAAAGAAATAAAGATTTGACATATATCGTGATAATTATCGATATCGACTGATATAAAAAAAATATCGTGATAATTTTTTTTGGCCACATCACCCAGCCCTAATCTGTGGTCACGGGGTGTTAGGCGTTTATTCACGCACGTTAAAAATATTTATTAGAAGCTTCTTTCTTTGTACATTTGTACTTACAGCATTAGGCTCCTATATTAACGTATTGACAGAAGAGCACCTCATATAACCTGCGTAGATTCGACCGTGAGATTGGGAGATGAATCAGGCTCCTCCTATTGGTGCATCGAATCTTCGACTATTCGGGGCCACTCCTACATTAAAGCTGCGGTCGGCAAGTCTGGCAGATTGAGTGGACTTATAACTCTCATGCCCCTCCCCCACTATCAACGAACACCCTCCCACAGAGTTCGTTATCTGTGAACGCGACCGTCTCATCAGCATCCATCAACACCATGGATTATTTGGAGGTATGCTGGCCTGGCTAATCTACCAGTATATTGCAATTGCTAACGTGATTTATACTCTAAATGAGCTTACTTGGTTTGTTAGTGTTCCGCCATCACTCTTCTATACTGCGCCAACTTCAGGCGTGTGCGTGTGATAGTAACGTGCGCGAGGGGTGGCGTGTGCCCGATCTGTGATTGACAGTCAGATCCCACACCCCCCTGCGCTGACTGCACCCGATGATCCGGGAGCGCAGGAGTTTTGCAAAACAAATAACACACTCCAGATGGAGTTAGAAGCTCGGGTTTTTTCTAAAACCACTTTTTTTATGTTGTTCTGTCGGATTATAGTGTCGATTTCACTGAATATGGTCAAAAAAATGTTGCTGACGGCAGCTTATATGTTGTTAAATGTTGTCGACGGTCTATATCCATCATTAATTTTACTATATTATAGGATTCTAAGTAAAAATAGGCAAGTTGTAATTTGAATTCTTCATAAGCATCTGTTAATAGATTAAATGTAAATGCAAGTGACATGAAAGTGATCTCACCTGCTTCTGCTGGTACAGGACACATGACGGCTCTCCGTCAGTTCGGCTCCGCTCGTTCCACAGGGAGACCCGGGCCACGGCCTGCCAGCCGCCAGAGCTCAACACGTACGCCGAGACGAAGCCTGAGAGAACAGGAGAACAGGTGAACAGGGGAACTGGGGAACTGGGGGACAGGGGAAAAGGGGAACAGTAGAACAGGAGAACAAGGAGAACAAGGAGAACAGGTGAACTGGGGAACTGAAGCTCAAGCTCAGGTTCTGCAAGATCTCTAGAGCGAAGCGTGATGTTTCTCACCAGTGGCGTTTGGACCCACAGCGATGATTAGATCCGAACACGACAGGGACCCACTGTCTGTGTGTGAGATCCAGTGCACATCCACACACCTGACACACACACACACACACACACAATTACTTTCATTATCAACCGCAGCTCACATGAAGCCCATTCCCGCCACAAAATTATGCTTATGACATGCTAAATCATAATTATGAAATAAAGTGTCAAAATTATGACAGACATATTATGAGAAAAAAGTTCATTTACATTTATGCATTAGGCAGACACTTTAATCCAAAGCAACTTACACTGCATTTCAAGGCACACATTTACATTTTTATCAGCTCTTGCTTTCCCTGGGAATCGAACCCATTACCTTGGCGTTGCACCAATGTTGAGCTACAGGAAAGCCAGTAATAAAATAATCATTTAAAAGTCTGCTGTCTATAATTAGGTTACCTTCATAATTATGACTATCAATTAAGAATAAAAAAACAACCTTTTGTAAATCATTCATAATTATGACATTAAAAGTAGAAATTGGCATACTAAGACAAAATGAAGACAGAATGTGTAAATTGTGACATTAAAAGTTGTTGTTATGACAGTCATAATTTTAGCTATTTAGCTCATGATTATGACACTAAATTAGAAATTGAAATACTAAGAGACATAAAAAGTTGTAATTATGAGTCATATAATTTCAATTTGTCATAATTTAAACTTTTTAATGTCATATGACTTGTATGCCAATTTGGACTTTTATTCATAATTAAGTTATAATCAATCATATAGAAAAACCCACATTAAAATATTGTAAACATTAACATGCTGCTTTGAAACTGTGTGTGTGTGTGTGTGTGTGTGTGTGTGTGTATTGATTAATCTGTGACGTGATCAGTGATGATCCATTTTAAACTTAAAATTGCTTTATGGCATCACTTTAAGTAATACAATAATGCCAAAGCTGGGAATACACGTACATAAAATAATACTAAAAACACCAAAGCAACTAAACATATTGACAGAATGCAGCTTGACAGAAACACACGCGGCTGAAGTGAAACCGAAAGGATAGTTTTGATTTAGTCTCATAAAGCCGATGAAATAAGGCTTTAAATCAAATGTCCCGCATGGACACAGTTTATTGCATTATGAATAAATATAATTAATGGTTTTACCTCTTCTCCTCGATTTCCCGTAGGATCTGTTCATCTTCCTCGTTTTCCCTCGTCATATCATCATACTCATCCTCCTCGACAGCTCTTGAGTACACCGACAACACCTCGCCGAAGAAAGTCGCCATAATAGAAGAAGATTATTGACATTAATAACAATGCGAGTCAAACCCGCTGTGTAACGATCGATGCTCCGCTACTAGCCCGACATACACCGGAAGTAGAACGGCAAGAGACTTTTATGTTGTTTTCAGTTATTTTCCTATGGTTATTTTATGAGTGGACAGTTTTTTTAATGCAAAAAACAAAAAAAAAGAAAAAGAAAAAGAAAAAAGAAAAAATCTCGAATACAATTTAGCAACAATATCGACATAATACACAAAAAAATTGCTATAACTTCCATCATTTTTTTTTTCTGCTAATGAGAAATTTCCTGCAGAAATAAGAAAAAGAACATGAGGGAATAAAATTAATTATGAAATGAAAGGTTTTGTAAATTGAAGTCGTTCTACTTGGTTTCTTATTACTGTAAAACTTTTTAAAGTCTTGTTTTTCTTGTTGGTGAATTCATATGAGCTGTGATATTATGTATACAAATAATACATTATCATTAAAATATGTTAGTATTATTAAAACTAAGATCACAATCAGAATCTCACTGTCATTGTCTCATCATCAAACACAGACGTTAGTGTGAAATGTTTGTTTTTATTACAATTCTTGTGCCAACTGTCAGAATGCAAAGCAAATGTATTCAAATCTTTATTATAACCTTTTTTATTTAAAATACTGTTTACCCAATCTCCGATCTGAGATCAGTAGTTCATTACATTCGGAACATCAGAGCAGATCTGAGACCAATAGAGTGTGTTCGGAACATCAGAGCTGATCTGAGACCAGTAGAGTGTGTTCGGTACACTAGTGCTGATCTGAGGCCAGTAGAGTGTGTTCGGTACACTAGTCTAGTGCTGATCTGAGGCCAGTAGAGTGTGTTCGGTACACTAGTGCTGATCTTAGAGCAGTAGAGTGTGGTTGCCACACCGTGCTGATGTCACTGAGTCTGATCTGAGATCAGCGGGAAACTCCGTCGGTCTGATGCTGTAAACAAACACTGAGGCTCTGTTTACTCGGGCGACATCTATGAAATCTAAAGTATGGAAATAAGGCTCCCGATTTCCACACACAGTTATGTTTCCTTGTGTGTGTTTGTGGTGTTTATTATCGCGGGTAAGTTCTGTTTGATTTCTCTGAGGCGTTTTGACGTCATATGTGAGCGTTAGTGCAGCTCCGTGCTAACATGCTAGCTTCAGTTAACATTAAATTATCTGGTGATTTTATATTAAATCACATGAAGTGAGTCTATAAAGAACATCTCTTGTTTGTGTTAATTTAATGTTCTGAAGCAGCTCGTTTGAATACATCCAGTGTGTGTGTGTGTTTAAAGTGTTTCTCAGATCAGGAAGTTTAGCTCGTATTGTTCTGTTAGCACGTTAGCCTCCCTTACATATCATATCATATCCTATTATTTACTCACGAAAACGTTCTTTTGATTAATAACTCACATAATTTATTCACGTACTATTGTATTTTTTAATGTTTTAGGTTTAATTAACGTTAGATCAAACCTGAATTATCAGCTTGATTAATAAACCAGGAGACACGAACAATAAAGACTCAAATCTAAATTAATTATTTTATTTCGTGTATTTTAATGAGCATCTGGTGTAATCTTTAAATAACACAATTTACATGGTCTGTTTTTGTTTAAATCTGTCTAAATTGTACTAAAATATACCATGGTATTGTTTGAAGAGGTCACGCCTGTATCTTTTACTGTCTATGGTATTGATGCAGCATGTAGACAATGACGCCAATTTTAAGCTTAAATTCTATTAATTTGGTTTTATTTCATGTACAATACACGTCCACTTTTTTCAAGGAAAAAATAAATTGCACATTCGTTCATTTGTAGTCTACTCATAACATTATAATAACTTTGTAATTACATAATTATGTTCCTACTTCAATTCCTTATTTGAACTCTAAACATTTACCCTCTGGTGCTCTTTGTGTGGTGGTCAAAAGTAACCGAATTATTATTTTATTTTTATTTCAATCAAAGTAATCTACTATATTTTAGTTTTACAATGTTTTTTTAATTTAATACTTAGTATTTTTAGGGGATTGTTTGTGTGTGCTCCTGTAAGATGTGTTGATGTGTGTGTGTGTTTCAGGCGTGCCGGCGATAGACGTGTTCACTCCCGCCGAGGTGTTTGTGGAGAACGGGACCACGGCGACTCTGAGCTGCAGCTTCAAGTCGAAGGAGGTGGTGGGCAGTGCGGCTTCGGTGACGTGGTACTTCCTGGCGGAGGGGGACACGGGACAGCCCACCTCGGTGAGTCGTACTCTGCCGTATCATGTGACCCTGGACCACTAAACCAGTTGCACGGGTATATTTGTGGCAAAAGCCAACAATGCACAGTATCAGGGGTGGGAATTTTTCCAAAATATTGTATTCGAATATTCGGGTTGATGAAAATATTCTGTAAATTTCCTACCGTGAAATACATTTTTTATTATGTATGGACAATGTAGAAACGTTAAAGGCAATTTTCGACTGGTTTTGTGGTTCAGGGCCACATATGTTTGTCTAATGATGTCAGGCATCACGTGATCATCATGGATGTGTTGGTCCTGCACAGATCTTCTATCACGCCGGTGGGAGGCCGTTTCCGGGCTCGCTCCCGCAGTTTAAGTCCCGTGTGGAATGGGCCGGAGACATGAACAAGAAGGACGCGTCGATCCGCGTGATCCAGATGCAGTTCAAGGACAACGGCACCTTCAGCTGCGACGTGAAGAACCCGCCGGACATCACCGGGCAGATGTCCGTCACTAAAGTCAGAGTCGTCATGAGAGGTGAGCGCTCAGGAACACCTGTGGGCGGGGCTTGATGGTTGTGGTTTGCTATTGGCTGATCTCCTGTGAGTGACAGGTGGCCCCGCCCACATCATCAGAGAAGAGATGATGATTGATGATGAAGATGAACTGATTCTCAGTAATGATGTACACAATCATAAACAGCGGTGTGTGTGTGTGTGTGTGTGTGTGTGTGTGTGTTCAGAGGCTCTTCCTCACACCAGCGCTGCGGTGATCGTGGGCGGTGTGATCGGCGCCGTGATCGGCATCATCATCATCTCTGTGGTCACGTACCTCATCATCCGCCGGCAGGAGCCCACTCACGACTACGAAGGGTATGTGGCGTCCTCACACACTCTGGGGTCATAGGTCATGTGGGTTAACCGTGTGTGTGCATGGAGCATGACGTCAGGACTGAGAGGTTTTGACACTAAACCAGATTCTAGTCAAACGGTGTGTGTCGAGTTAACCCATCAGGTGACCCTCACTAACCTCTCGACTCGTAGTTCACACACACATCTCTCGTGACCAGCTGATCACATGAGGGCGGGAAAACATCAGTTAACATCAGTCTACAGCGCTGCGTAATCTTAATCAAGGTCCATTTCCGTTTACTAATACATTATTGAATTATCGTTATTCTGTTGATATGACACAATGAACCTCAGCTAACGTGAGCTAACAATCAACGGATTAAATGTATTAACTAATGTTGACAAAGATGAATAAGTACCATAACAGACGCATCACTCCCTGCCAGTTAAAGTCCTCCTGTGGTGTAAATCCAGCGTTTGCTGTTGTTCGTGTGTGTGTGTGTGTGTGTGTGTGGTGTTATTAGCACGCTTTAACACACACCAGCGGATCTCTGAGTGAGTGGAGGCGGGGCTCATTTGCATATTAATTGCACCGTGCATACTAAACGAGGCAAGGTTGTCGAGTTACATTCAAGATATTTTGTAATGGCATGAAAAAAAAAGTTTTGAGGGAGGAAGAGTTCTAAACGATTGACCACAGGGGGGCTTTAATGATTAACTGATGTTAACTAATGGGGCCGCACCGTAACGCGTCATGTGACATCGTCCCTTCAAAGTCTCTTTAATGTGAAAAAATGTAGTCGTATGTGGTGCTGTTTTGAATCTATAATGATTTGAATAGGCTGATTTTATCATGGAAATAAGAATCTAATGAGTCACGATGGAGAATACTGTGGTTAAATGTGATCGTTTACATGCACTCCATGATCGCCGCTTCGGTCCGACAACGTGATTCGGCTGGACCTCAGTGACATTTTCTCAATTTGATTTACATCTTAAACACGCATACGTTTCTGTCTTTGAAAGACTGATTGGCTTATACATCAGCCTTTATGTTTCAGACAAAAGCTATTAAATCACGGCTCTCTGGAATCCTTGCTTCTGATTGGTCTATATTTCGACTGTATTCAAATGAATCAGAGGCGTTCAGCAGTGTAATGTGCTGCTGTGTTCATCTTGTCTCCAGGACGCTGTGCACGATGGTGGATTATATGATAATTAAAGGTAACGGTTTCATCTGAGATCATGTATCTTGTATTTCTGCGTGTAATGAGTGTTTTTTGTTCAGTCGTGTCGACTAAAAGCCGCCGGCTTGCTGCTGTGTTCTTCCGGAAGCTGTGTGTCTGTACTGAGATAAGAGATCAGGATGATGGACATCCCTCCGTTAGAGTATCCCTTACTGTACTCGGTGACATCAGCGCTAGGAATAAATGAAACGCTCGTTAAACGAATGCGAATCGGAGATTTTAGTGTGCATGTAAACACAACACCGAGTCTGACGTGGGCTTCATCGGTGAGTGCATGGAAACACACATTATGAAGCACAAATAATGATGCAAACTTCAGTACATACGACAAAAATCAGGATTTGTGTGTGAAATACGAGACGCCACGTGTCTGCGTTATTCTGCTTGTGTGTGTGTGTGTGTGTCTCATTAACCCGTCTGCCGGTCATCCCTTCTGTGTGTGTGTGTGTGTGTGTGTGATCTGAACAGCTGGTGTTGTGGCGTTTGTATCATATTGCTTGTCATCTCATTTGTGTCTGCGTCCATGTGTGTGTGTGTGTGTGTAGCTGCACCTCGTTAGAGAGTGTGAGCTCACAGAACACTCGGGTGGGGAAGAAGGCGGAGTCGAGTAACGACAATTCACGCTGCTCCAGCCCCTCCGCCCCCGTACAGGTACGACCCACTCACTGCCAGTGTGTGTGTGTGTGTGTGTGTGTGAGAGAGAGAGAGAGTGTGTGAGAGAGCGAGTGAGTGTGTAAGACAGTGAGTGAGTGAGTGACAGAGTGAGAGAGTGTGGCAGAGAGTGTGTGTGTGTGTGTGTGGGTGAGAGAGAGAGTGAGAGAGTGTGTGTGTGTGTGTCATCAGTGCTGATCCATTGTTTACATGCATAGCTTCCTCTCCTCCTCATGCATCTTGTGTGTGTGTGTGTGTGTGTGTGTGTGTTCAGCTGGACGGTGATTATATCGAGAGCTCGACTGATTAATCACACACTGATGTTTGTTGGCCGCTATTTGAAGTGTTTCAGCAGGACTTTTATTTTGACAGCACTGAGACGCTCTCGCTCGTGGACAGTGCATTAACTCGAGTGTTGCTTTAATAATGCTTTAGGAAATATAGAAATGATCATTACATCTTTTAGAAGTGTTTTCCATTCATAGTTCATGTGACTAATGTAAGCGTATTGTAATGTTCCAGCATTATTTTTATAAGCAGTAATAATTCATTGTAGAGTGCAACAGTAATGTATTATTTTATTGATTTGTTTAATGTTTATAATAAAAATAGTAAAATATATAATACACACGAAAAATATAATTATAGATGTTTTTTGTTTTATTGTTGCTGCTGCAGTGTTTTCATAATAGATGAAACTGGTTCTGCTCTCTGGAATCCCCCATGAGCTGCAGTGTGTAGTGTGTATAATGATATTTAACTCATGCGGTGTGTGTGTGTGTGTGTGTGTGTGTCAGGGGCCGGTGATCTACGCTCAGCTCGATCACTCCGGCAGCAAGAACTCCTCCATCCACAAGATGGAGCCGGTGGTGTACGCCGACATCAGGAAGAACTAGAGCTGGACTGATGATCCCTGACGAGACTCGCTCTTCTGTCTGTGTGTGTGTGTGTGTGTCTGTCTGTGTGTCTGTGTGTGTGTGTGTGTGTGTGTGTGATGGGTAGGTTTAGGGATCGTGTTTGTGTAGTGGAATAGAAATACAGTTTGGACCGTAAAAAAAACATTACGCCTATGGAGGTCCTCACAAGTATAGTTAAACAAATGTGTGTGTGTGTGTGTGTGTGTGAGTTTCTACAGTTAAATAACGCAGCTGAGAGGATGTCGATGCTGAATCTCACCACAAAACCAAACTGATCAGATTTTACATTGAGAAAATGCAGTTCTGTTACATTCCACACACTCGTCCGTACAGTACGGCTTTACTTTATTATCTTACAAATGACTGTCATGCTGTGTTTATTCAAAACATATAAATCAACATAAACACTAACTCATCTTAAATAATGATCCATTCCAAACACTAATGAATAATGCTTTTTGCATAATGACCCATGAGAGGTCTGGGGGACATGCGCTTATTTTACATTTGTTCAGTTATTTTTCATTTATCCTTTTTTTCACATCTCACCACAAAATCAGTCAAACAAAGAAATGATCATTTTCATAGAGAAAACAGAGCCTTTCTTTAGGAACATATTTTTTTTTATGATATTAAAAATACTACAGTAAAAGTTTTATTTCTAAATGCCATGATGTGCCATGATATTTTGTACAATGATCAAAACAGTAATATGTTTTGTAAATTTATTATTGATTTTAATTTTTTTATTTTTTGTGCATGCATCCATCTCGCATTCCACCAGAGAATCAAACAAGCATCATATCATGTGTGTCGAGAAAAGATTTGTTTTTGTGACTGAATTACATTAAAATATTAGTGTAGTAGTTTTATTTTTTTATAAACTATGGTATGTTATTGTTGCAGTTTGTAATAATGTTTCCAAAGACTGATTAAGATGGTTTGGTTGTGTGGTGTGATTGACAGCTGCGTGTGCATGTGACGGACATCAGGGAGCATGATGGGTAATGGCCTCATAAACACTCCAGAAGCTGAGCATGTGTGAACGGACGGTTCTAGAGTTAGTGTAGAAATGCCTTCAGTGTTAGTTTAGTGTGTGTAAAGCATCTCAAACACTCCGCACTCATTCCACTTTTATGTCTTAAAACTCGTAAACTCCTTCCATGGACATTTGATGTGTCGTAACTTAAGTCTTGTTTTATTTGTGAAAGTTCTGACACTTTTGAACGCTTTTGAGTGTAACCAGGATCAGGACCATTCCTTTCGCTCCTGATGCTGGACTCGTTTTGTTGGATGTTTTTGCATAGATGATTATTTTTGTTATTGGAGATGAACATTCCTGCGCTCGCGGCGGCGCGCTCATGTGAACTGGAACACCGGGGGAGAGTGCCTTCACCAACTAACTTTCTCACTTCCTGCTTTTATATGAAAACAGCTGTATCTGTTTAATTTTATACATGCATATATATATAAATATATCAAACTGAACGAAGATGTCTGATGTGTGTGTTTCTGATATAACGCGAGTACAACATTGCCTGCGTCAAATTCAAAACATTTTTATGGATGTATTGCATTTTTACAAACTTTCCTGAAATGCAGTTGATTTTGGCAGCAGTCTTTGATTTAGTTTGAGTCATGGTCTTTGGACTGAAATGCTATAAAGTCATATTTTAGTTGTTTTTGTTTTAGTCGTCTAAATATCATAAGATTGAAGTCGTCTAAATCTGCGTCTAAACCTCCCGCAGAGCCATGACCGGATCCCGAGGGAGGCTGGAGATATTGAGTCTGAGTGGACCATGTTCTCTTGTTGATGAATATTTCAATAGATTCCTGTCATAGTTTCATTCGAAACTGGTTTTTATTTAGGTATCATAGAAAACAAAATATAGTTGGCTCAAATTATGATGAAAATTATTCCTCAACGAAATTAACGCTGTTAAAATGTATTCATTTTAACAGTGTCAACAATAAATATATGACATTATATTCATGATACAACTTGAGAGTGTCCATTTTCCAACTAGGAATTTCCCATTCGGAAACTCGTATCCAGCAGTTCTGAACGCACGTGATGGCAGCGTCGCTTCAGTGTTTGCAGAGTTGTGTTTACATCAGGTAACGTTTCATCTCATCCTGAAGACTTCTGGGAAATCACTCGAGCGTCAGTCGGAGCGGAAACTCTCCTGAACTTCATCAGAATTGGCTTTATGCACAACTACAATACTTCCTGAACTTCAGCCAGCTCCTTGTTTCCTGTCTGCCATTATTGGACAAACTGGTGTGTCTGACCTCAGTAGTCACAACGACAATAATCAGACACACCTGTATTAATCAGTTTGTCCAATAATGGCAGACAGGAAACAAGGAGCTGGCTGAAGTTCAGGAAGCTCTGTGCATGAAGCCGAAATGTTCCTTCAAACAACAGATAACGTCCCCGTGGTGAAGGACCCTTCAGATAGTCGTGTTCAGACGCGGATTCTCCAGAGCCTCGGACATGACGGGTGAAAGAACAATGTTATCTAGAGTTACTCTGTCGCCAGATTTAACAAATTACATCTGATTGAATTTCCTCCTGAAGAATGATGGTAATCTGAGGCGCTTTGAAAACAGGGCAACTCGCTCAGAATGTCACGAATGTGTCGGCGGATAAAGGCCATCTAACGCGATTGAGTTTCTCTGGAAGCTTCATCACGGGTCTGTTGCTCTGTTTACTCTCAACAATTGAAGCAGGAACTGGAGAATAAAAAAATTAAGTATAAATAACCGAACAAAATGTCATCCCCTTTTAGCTCAAGCTAGCAAAATCTTATGTTCAGAATTTAGTGATTTCTGATTGATTTTATTTCATGTAATGATTTTCTTTTATGGTTCTTGTTTATTCAGAGTTTCAGTCTGGTTTCAGAAAAAACATCTCTATTTTTGGCAGTTTTTGTGTGCTGTGTTCCTCCCTCTCCTGTAATATGCATCAGTTGATATGATTCTGTTGATTGATGTTTTGAGGACTGAACTCCTGCTGAAGTTTCCCTTTACTTGGAAGAAGAATTCAGTGGAAGAATCTGGACTGTAATTATACAGATAGCACATGTACGGATTCTCCAGAGCTTCAGAAGAAGTAATTATAATTACAGTTCAAATTCTTCCTTTATAGTATATTTTTGGCAAGATGTCTGTTAAAGATCCCTTCATCTGGAGAGCATCTGCTGTCTACTATCATACATTCCAATCTTGAAGACATCTTCTAAATGTCTATTTGCCATCTGACAGGAAACATAGATGTATTGCAGATGAGCAAACGCTCTAAAGAATAGGTCTTCCAGATGTAAACACACAGATCAAATCAGGGCCAGACTCGGACCAAAATTCGGCCCTGGCATTTGTGGTTTTCACCGGCCCAACTACTTGATGACGTTACAAAAACGCAGTGTTGTAGTCGAGACCACCTCACTCGAGTCCGAGTCGACACCGAGACCAGAGAGAGTCGAGTCCGAGACCAGAGACGGTCGAGTCCGAGTCGAGACCGAGACCAGTGAGGGTTGATTACCTAATTTACTTTTATTTACTTAGAGAAATCCTTTTTTTTTTTTACTGAATTTACTTAGACTTTAAAAAATATGATCAGTTTAGGGTAAAAAGGCCACATAGTAGGTGGTGTTAAAAGTAATTTTATTACAATTTGTCATGCGCAGTTACGCACTAGAAAATCACCAATCACTGGGCGTGTCAATCAATTTAAAGAAATATTTTATTAACATACATTAATAATCATGAAAAATATTTTCAATTGAACTCGAGTCCTAAAAAAAAAATGTTCGAGTACGAGTCAATTCCGAGTCCAAATGGACACGAGTCCATGACAAGACCAAGACCAATAAAATATGGTCTTGAGACCGAGTCCGAGACGAGTCCGAGTCTCCAGTACTACAACACTGCAAAAACGTCCCCAGAATCTGAACATTTTTCCCACTGAGACACACCACACAAGGCAGCAATGACTTTCACACTGTAGTCTGTAGGCATACATATACGCCTTATTCACGGCAGCGCCATCTTTGATTTTTAATGAGAATGAAAGCGAGGCTCTGAGGGATAGACTTGCATCTCTTCAATGGGCTGTACTGTTATTTAATGTGTTTTCGAAATGTTCTGCTCATGAAACACTGGAAAAATATCTTTCTAAGAAATTTCAGTTGACAAAAAACTCCTGACAGTAAGTTGTGGAAAATTGTAAGTAATCTAAGAGCTTTATTCAGCTTTTTAAAGCGGATGCCATTGGAAACACGGTAAGTCTATCCCTCACAGCCTCACTTTCATACCTGTCATGGCGCTGCTCTGAATAAGGTCTATATAGACCATTTTGCAAGATGTAAACAACACTGGTCCAGAAACACTTCCTGTTTCAGTTTGTAACTGTTTTCTTTATTTCACATGTAAAGAAAACATCTTGAAGATGTTTGTTTAACTTTTTGATTCAGTTTTATATGTTCTGTTGGTTGTATTTATCCCAGCTTTTATGTAGTGTTAAAAAACTGAAACAGGAAGTGCTTCTGGACCAGTGTTGTTTACATCTTGTGAAATGGTCTATAAGACTGAGGCGCATAGAGGTCTGAAATGAACACCCGGAAGACGCCAATTGCGGGTAGATTTTCCGTTTGGCGAGTAAATCTCAAAAGGCTGTCCGCCCCACTGGCGGGTGAATGTTCATTACAAAATAGTAATGAAATAAAATGTTTATTACAATTGCATTTAATCAGCAAAATATCTGGCATGATGGCTATGGACATGATAATATCTGACATATTTTTTCAGATTGTCTTGTGTGCTTGTGACGAAGCGATGGGCCGTGAGCAAATCTATTCCACTAGTTTGCAAATACTTGGAAAGTGGAGTTGTTGGAAGATGCGTAAAAACGTACCTCTGGGTAATGAGGATGGGTTGGTATCTCAGCATAACCGTCGGCCTTCGCACGCGCGCACAGTCGGCTGCTTCGTCTCGCTCAGGGCCTTGAGTGTAGCAACAAGATCAATGTAAAGACTTGATCCCCAAACTTCCCAAATACCTTTCTAAGCGCAGGAGTCTTTGGCCCACCATCGGGTTTCAACCCTGATTAAGCGGAGCACTCCACCTGAGGAAACACTAATTAGACGCTTCGTTTAGCCGTAGTCACGTGACGTAGGTGTTTTGAATCACGCTTCGGATCAGTGTTTCGAATCATCTGCGCTTCGGGATCTCGCAAAGCTTCGAAACGTCTGTTTCGCGTCAGCCATCAATAAAAATATCCCGTATTTTTACGCTCTGACTGATTGTGTTAACAACTGACTCAGAACACACAACTATCTGTGTCTCGGACCAAAACAATAGAAAATCACACCGGCCCTTCTGGCATGTGCAAGAATTGCCAGATGGCCAATCCGGGCCTGCATCAAATAACTAGTCTCTGTGATGTAGTGTGCAATCTGATTCTCTGGATTCTTCAATCACTGTTTCATAAGAAAATAAGTAAATATTTCATTATAAAGGAATTATGCTTAGGGCACCAAAATGGCTAGCAGCGGCACTGCATATATGAAGAGTTCAGAAGCAAAAGCCTCTAAATGCCATTTGAAATTTTCTTCTAAAATGATCGTTTTTATCAAACTTGTATATTTAGGTTCAGTAATTTCACTTAAATAACAATTAATAGGTAATTAGCATTGCCATTTAAGTGAAATCACTGAACTTAAATATACAAGCTTGATAAAAATCATCATTAAAGAAGAAAATTTCAAATGGCACTTAGAGGCTTTTGCATCTGAACTCTTCATATGTATTTATTTTTGTATTTATTCATTATCCCTCTACTGCATCCATTTTGATGGCACCTGATAAAAATGATTCCACATTATTTCTTGGCTCATTTGGGAACATTTACTGATTTATTGAAAATGTCCCCCGACTCCCGACTCCTGCATCTGCCCTTCTGTAGTGAAGTATTGTTCAAGACATCCCTGAAAACTATCCCTCATCACACAGCGTTGCAAAGAAAAACTAAACATGCAAAATAAAATAAAAACTTTATAAAACCTGCCAAAAGGCTTCTCTATACCTTCATACACACACACACACACACATATTTTTGATGTTGACGCCTGAACCTTACTGGACTGTTCTTTGATACTCATTTAAAGAAAAGTGCCCTGAACACAGGCTTGAGCAAACGCTGGACCGGAGAGGGTTTGGCAGCTCTGGGAATCTAGAGTTAAGACAATAAAGCTTTACTTTTAGTCTAAACTTTATTTAAACACATATAACATTACAAACAAAGCATTTAAAAACATTCACAGTATAAATTGATTCAGATTCACATTGGGATTTCCAGCAGTGAGCGACACGGAGTTCATCAGAACCCGATAATAATGAGAATACACAAACACTCGATGGATTACATGCCAACTGCAGCACTCGTCAGTGGACGGATCAGGGCAGAACCTCTGAAGATGAATCCAGTTGGAC